CAATGGACACTAGAAAAAGTATTCATGACCAAGAAAATTTACAACATGTAGTTTTGAAGTCACCAGACCAAGGTCTAGCTAGATCTACCACCCATACACGGTGCCTACTAGTGGTGCCTGTTGAAGAGCAGGTGCCTGTTGTCTGCTCTTCCACAGTATTAACTTAGTGAATTGCCTCTGGCATTTGTGTTTGGAGAAACATTAGTTGAGGACAAATCCTTATTTGTTACGTTAAATATGCTGCTGATGCGATCACACTGCTACCACTAAATACCTGGCAGTCATCCTAAACTTGACTCCTTCTCGTACCACTTCTCATCAGTGACCCATCTGTTCTTTTTCCCTAACATCTAATTCATCCCACTGATTGCCCCACTGTCCCTGCCTTAATTTAGACTTTCTTCTCTCGTAAATAAAATTATAGTGGTTTCCTCCAAACATAGGCACTTTGTGGGCTGCCTACCTGTAGCTGTTAGGTTTTTCAGGATGTTTGGCTATAAAAAGCTGAAGAGCTGCTAATAGCTTTGTGTTATTTGATTGGCTTTTCTTCCCCGACTTCACTACCTCCTCTTATTTGTGCTTTTATTTATACCCTGTGCACCTAAGCAAAATTAGCAGTCATGTCTTGAAGACTTATCTTGAAGAACTCTTCAGGGTAAGGAGAGGAAGCTGCAAGGACGAAGATAGTAGTAGCGGCAGCAATGGGATGGCCCTGCCAAATGACTAAGCTGTTGGTGAGTCTCCAAAATAGTTACTGGTTCTTGCTGCTTTGAAGCATAGTCCAAAGTTTGCTTTAGTGCCCTTGTTCTTCAGTGTCTGAAAGTTGAAAAAGCTATAGAATTATTTGAAACTACTGAAAATAATACCCCTATAAAGGAAATGTACAGGGTAGTAAAGATTCTTCTTAAGTGGTTCTTTGGTTAAGCAAAGACTTTAAGGGGATCTAGGAATAAGCTGAATGCAATGTGTCCCAGATCAGTTGTGGAAAGCTGACCCAGAAGTAAACTGCTAGGTACAAACTACTGGTGGGAAGCACATGGAGGACTTCCCAGAAAGGACTCTGCTGAAATGTAAGCCAGAGTCCTTTCTCTTCTGCATTAATTTCTGAGAAAGATAGGACAGCCAAAAAAGCAGCTGACTTTTTCTCATTTTGCTTGGATTATGCAGATCATGATTTGTTTGGAAAATATTTTAGTGATTTAGATAATTATTTCAAGCTTTTAATTATTTTTATTAGAAATCTGGCAGGTATCAGGTATGTTTAGAAACTAAAACATAAATGTAGTTTCAACTGTCACAGACTCAAGGACAGGGGAGGCAATAGCCATTTTTTCTTATTCTATCAGATAGGAAGTGCTTCATGGGACTTGGAGACTTGAAAGTTTACAAAAGGGGTCTTTAGTGTCATCTTTGAGTTTATAAATTAGAATTCCACATATGACGTGTGAGCCTTTTTATGGGCAGGATTACCCTCAGGAACTGTGGATGTGGAATAGCCCCATATGATTGGCTTTTTTTAGTCCTAGTGTTTTTGTTGGAAGAGGAGAATTTGTTTTTCAGTTAACTTTCCTTTGTCATTGTTGTATTTCTTTGTAAGTCTTTTTAATACTTTGAAGCATTTTCATAATTCATAGCTTGCCTTTTATATTCATTGTGTTTGAAAGGTTTTTTCCTATTTATAATATGTTGGTGCTTCTCCAAGGAAGAAATATCTTGAAGTCAAAGATACCTGGAGTAGGGATATATGTTACTAGTGAATGGAATAGTTGAAAACTTCTAAATATCTTTTTTCCTGTCATCAATATTATATATTAGTTGGTTTAAAATAAATTTTGACATAAGTATTTTTTGGATCAAATTATACACATCATATTGAAGCCAGTATACTCAGACATGAAAGAATGAATTTGAAAAATCTGGTTTAATTCAGATTTGGGGAGGGGAGCACATTGTGAAAATACATATGCACAGGAACCTAAGCAATGCTAGACAAACAATGTATTAGTTTATAATATAACAGGATAACCACAAATTTAAAGGCTCAAATTGAGTCCATCAGCTGTAATACAATTTCATATTTGGCTCAAGTGGCTATTGAATATCAAGTGGTGCCAAGTTCCTCCAAAGCACCTAATGATCCTTGGAAGGAGTTTCACCACAGTCTTAGAAGAAATCCCAGTCATGCCTTTGATTCTTTTGGCCCTTGGGAGTCTTTGCTACCCAAATAGAAATGCAGGCGAGGGATTTCCAATGGCCACATGGTATTGCACACAGAGAGGTCTGTTCTAAGCCAGACTCTTATAGCTAAGGAGGTGTGAGATTAGCCCTTAAATAGTGGTCTAGCATCAACATGGTCTATTAAAAGCATGTTAAGAAATAGCTCCTTAGTGATTATGTACCAGCTACTAGTTATCTATCATACTAACAGAAAAGGCAACATGGCAGCTTCACATTTCACATAAAAGACTAGCATTAACTGGGCCTGGCTTGTTGCTGGCTTAGCTTTCACATAAATCTAGTGATTATTTTAATTTAGACCCAGGAGAAAATGATTGTATACCAGTCTTTTCTTCACATAAGATTTGTGTAGCATTAAATTGTTATGGGTTAATGACTAGGCCATGACAGCAAAAATGTGTAACTCTCCTTTGCCAAAACAGAAACATCCCTGTTTTGACTCCTGTCCAGTTTAAAAAAAACAAACAAACATACATACACCTTTGTTATTGCACATCTTTCACACGAACTTGTGTATGTATAATAGACATATATTTTAAATATGCTACACATAAAAAGACTATGGCACTTTACAGAATACATGTTTAACAAAGATCATTACACCACAGATGTCTGAAAACTATACAGAAACACACAACATAACATTGTGAATTAGCACACAGGTTTAAAGAATCCACAGAATCTAAGGCAAATATTTCTGCCTCAGAGTTTGTTGAGAAGCCCAGCCCATCATGAAACTTTAAGCATAAATGCAGGTAAAATAAATAAGACTTTTCTGGTAGTAGTAATGGTCCTATTTATTAGATTGTTGACCCACACTTATTTTTCTAATTAACATTTCTTTCTAGCACATCCCTCATACTCAGTGGTTTTTAAACAGCCGTGTAGAAGAGTATGGTCTAGACTAGCATGATGCATGACTTTATGATGGTCCTTTTGTCCCAAAGCCCAGGGAAGTGAAGGTTTAAAAGGCCCAACATAGCCTTTTACTCAAGCCTCTGCTAGACCAATTCGATCTGTTTACTAAGTCAGTGTTTAGGTAGTTTTTAGTGGCTTCAGGTTTTGTGTGTGTACATGTGTTTTTTGTCTTCTGTAGCATTCAAATTAATGAAATAAACATTGTCAAGTGACTTTATTTTGGCCAAGAGAGGTCACATTCTTATTTGTAACTGTTACCAGGTTGATCCTGGGAGTTTACCACTACCTCAGTGAAAGAGCAGCTAATGGACATGTCAGAGGATCCTTTAGGCTTAAATTGCAAATTTATTATTAGCATATGGATTCTCAATCTCATAGTGAATCTTCTAATGAAAAACAGGGACAGTTGCCTTGCCTGGTGGTTCCTGTTTCTGTGGTGTTAGAGATGTGGTTGCTATGAAGACACCTGCTACGAGGATACCCGTTCTCTCTTCAAAAAAAAAAAAAGGCCTAGGATTTACACCTTGCTTACTTTGGTTCAAGAATGGTAAACTCAATTAAGGCCTGGTGGTTCTACACTCCCACCCTGCTTGCCCTTAATCCATGAGATATGATGGTTTCTGGTATAGGCCAAAGGGTAATAAAACTGTAGTTGCCTCATTCCCTCTATACATAATAAAGCAGTTATTCTGCACCAAGGTTTGGTCTTAGACTCTCACAGATTTAACATGATTCACGGGAGCAAGGTTGTAAAATCTGAGTCAGGGTTGTACACCTGGTGGTACTTTGCACACATTACCTTGCCCATAGAAGGTGCTTAGTAATTGATAAATTTTCAAAACAAAGCCCTCAAGTAAGCAGACCTATACTTCCAGAAATCTGGCAGGTCCACCTAGTTGCTAAGGAGTGTTTCTGTATCATTCTGCAATTCTGAAGCTCACATAATGACTAGATTATTTCTGGCTATTGCATACCATCTTCCTGAATAAAGCTCCTGAATCTTTTATAATAGTGGTATTTGATTCTTTTTGTAAACAGGTGTAGGCAGGTACTCTATGACTTTGGTCTAGCTCCTGTTTTTGCATTAACTGAACTCCTATGACTAGCTCCTTTTTGCCTGCAAAGAATGCCATTCTGCTACTGATGAGGTTGGAAATAACAGCCGACTACAGCATGCTTACCAAATAGGGGGGAAAGAGCTCCCTGCTGCGAGTGGCAAAATTCTGGGTCACTTCCCAGTGACCATCTGAATGAGCCACAGCTGGCTTGGAGACCTCTGTCCCTGGAAGGAAGAAACAGTGAGGTTTCCTTTGGCAGTCAAAGCACAACCCTATGAGAAAACACGTGATCTCCCATAGAAGAGGAGACTGGACCAGTATGGGCACTAGCCTGGCTGGTATGAGGGAAGAGGAAAGAATTTGTCTTCACTAGTAAGATTATGTACTTTTGTTCTCATATGATTGTACAGGTCCTTTTCTTTCTTTACTCAAATTTTTTAAATGTTTGATGGTTTATGTGATCCACCTTACCCTGGAATTCAGCCTAGAATAAGTTTCACAGCAGGATTCCACACCGTCCCTGCTGACCTCTTTGGTCACCTAAGCAAGAGCTAGGGTCTTGCAGTTTCCTTCAGCACACATCCTGTCCTCGGCATGTTTGTAGTTTTCCATCCATCTCCAACTGAGACAACTTGAAAGGACTAGGAGGAAAACAAACACATCAACCCAAAACCTCATTCTGAGGCAGAGATGCTCCCAGACAAGCAGCCTTAGAGCAGAAACAGCCTGCAAATTTGGCTCACAGTGTCTTCCATTACCAGAGACACTGCTGCCTTAATAATTTCGATCATTATCCTTCATTGAGCCTTGGGGGATACGGAGTCTGACAGAACTTGGCAACTACACGTCAGGGTTTATGTACTATTTTCATGTTCCATCCTTTATAATTTGCACTGCAGTCCTCATGTCTAGTAACTTTGCTTAGCCGGATGTTGCCTCTCATTGGTCCTGTCAATAAGGCTTGGGACTGTGGAATGTGGCTTTGGTAGCTAAAGTCTAGTTCTCCACTTGATTCAGATGATGAACTTGGCGGTGGACTGTTTCACCAGATTACTCAAGGAAGAAAATGGCATTAGTGTCTCTTCCAAGCTAAAGGAGGCAGATAAGGTTTTTCCCCTCTTCAATTTCTTCCTGTACTTTGTCACTGGAGGTTGCAATTTCTGCTTGTGCAGAGAAGACAGCACAGATGAAGGTGAGGACTGTGCCACCGATGGCAGTATAAAAGGCCCAGCCCAAGGAGCAGTCTCCAGGTTTGTAGGCAGATGCATAATGTCCACAGTAGTCTATGGCCTTCTGACAGCCCCAGCCTGCAGGGTAGAGTATCAAACCAAGGATAAGGAATAGACCTGCAGGACCAAAGAAAAAACAGATTAAAAACTCCCATGGCACTACAACACAAGGTACCTGTACAGATCTGTTGCAACTGTTACTTGATTTGCTTGCTTTGGGCAATGGTATCTGTTTTACAAGAGAAGTGTTAGGACTGTTTCGTGCCACTGATCTGACCCAGTCAAGAAATATTATGGTATTAGAAATATTTTCAGCCACTTTTATACATTGCAACATGTACAAGCCACATGTTGGAATGTGAATCCACTAATAATTGCTCATCTAGAAAAGCAAATTAACTTGTTACTATTTCTTCCCACAGGGCTCTTACTGCAATGAGTATTTCCCTTTTGGTCTAAGGCAGATGCTGGCAAACTATGGCCCCTCAAGCCAAATGTGGCTTTATAAATAAAATTTTACTGGAACACCAGCTGTGCCCATTCATTTATGGATGCCCATGACTGATTTTGTGCTGGGACAGCAGTAGTTGCCACAGACCTGCAAAACCTGAAATATTTACCATCTGATGTCAACCTGGTTAAATGCAAGAAACAGGGGCCCTGAAGGAGACCACATCTTAGCCTGATGGTTAGTGCTTTAAATGAACCCAGAAGGAGTCTGTTTGCAGGCATTCAACACTAACCAATGTCTGGGGCCAGAGATTTCTGTGTTTAAATATGCAGTTAGAAACAAATTGCAAACTTTGTAAGAATTTTCTGTCTGGATGCTTTTAAGGGAACTCGGCCACGAGTGGACACTAATAAGCTTTGCTTCCATTCTGCTGACCCCACTATGCTGGCATACTGAACATCCATTTTTCAATTCCTCACTGCTTAACTGGAATGTGCCAGTTGAGTTACTTTTCTGTCTAGCCCTGCTAGGACGAGGGTGAGGTGAGGAGCCGTTCACCGACTCTCAGGTCTCAGATGTCAGTCCTGTGCTTGGCTCACCTGGGCTGCCAGGCTCCTCAAAATGACAGGCAACCTAGGGTCCCTAAATTTTAGCCAACAAAACTTTCTTGGTAGAAAATTTTCTATAAAGGCCTTTATTTCACCTGCAAGATACGACAAGAGGAGGATAGCTTTATTCTAGGTGGAAGGAAAAAAACTTTTCTCTGAAAAATGACACCTACATAATCAAGATTGCCAAAACCACAACCAAAAAGTCCTGCCTTTTTAGATACCTTGAACTAGCAATTCTGTCCTTATGAATTAATCTTGGCTTTAGTTCTGTTTTTCCTACCTTGACTGAAATTCTCTGCGTTTACCACAACAAAGCTTCCAAGACATTTACAGCAACTTCCCTACAAAGAAAACATGACTAATTTTGTGGTAGTATGAGGTCTGGAGGGAGGTTGGGCATAGTGTTTCAAGGCACAGATGACAACTTTCCTAGCTGTCTTCTGTCTATGGTGTTTGGTTCACTACCGGAGCATTTGGGCGTCTGAGTGTACCCCCTTCATCCCATCATTCTACTCCGTAGATGGCTTCAAGAGACTTTTTAACAGGTGTAGAGGGAATCCATTCAGATGCTCACTGAAGATGGGTGATTCACAGATGAAGTCCTTCTGACCCTGTGCCCTCTATTTCTCTGTAGGTCTGAGTGACTGGAGCAGGGGGACAGAGGTCTGTACCTAGGGAGCTGTTGGCAAGGACTGGGAGCCAGTTCCCCCAGGCTAAGGCCGCCACAGGAGATGGTCCTCTAGAAGCTGGAAAGTCCCAAACCAGCAATCTTGGCTTGGAAAGGCTACAACTTACGTAGCAGAAAAAGCCCCTATGGTCTAGTGTGAGTGTGAGGCTAGAACTCAAACCAGCAGTGTGGTGGACTATGGCAGACTCACTAAATTATTATTAAGAGGTGAATCAGTTAATAGCTGAGAGGTTTGAATGCAGGCTCTGCCCTCTATGAGCTGAGTGACCTTAGAAAAAGCTTTTAACTTGATTCCTCACCTATAAAATGGACTAATCCTTAACTCACAATGTGGCTGTGATTTTTCTGTCTGTAAAGAGTACTTTGTACCTTTATAATAACAAAACTGGAAAAACAGACTAGCAGCCCTCCACAGACCCCCTCCCTTATATAAGCAGGAGCAGTTTAAAGTTTACCAAGTAAGAATAAACAGAGCTGGTTTTTTGTTTTGTTTTTGAGATGGGGTCTTGCTATGTTGCCCAGGCTGGGCTCAAACTCCCAGGCTCAAGTGATCTTCCCACCTCAGCCTCTTGAGTAGCTGAAACTACAGGCATGCACCACTGGGCCCAGCTAATTTTTAAGGGTTTATTTTGAAAGGTGTAATAATTTAGGAATCTGGAGGACACCAAGATACAACTTAATACCCTGTGATGATAAACTATTTTCCATCTGGACAGAGGTTTATTCAGCAGGAGAAATCTAAGATGATTTAACCAATTCTTAAGGCCTATGATAAACCCCAATTAATTCTGTCTGCATCCTACCTTGTTCCCTATGAGGAGACCTTGATAGTTTGCTCCCTCAAGGTCCTCAGTTACCACCCTGGCATACCAGCACTGGGTCATCTATACATTGTGAACCTGCCCAGGATTCAGAGGTACTCTCTGGTGTGCATGCGGCCTCTGCCCTAACGCTCTAAGTGCAGGCCCTAGGCAAGGAAGCATCGGCTGTTCTTCTCTTTAAAAGACCAAAGTGTTCATATTTTGGTTCCAATTAAATATTAACTTCACATTACACGTGTTATATGTAGCTTAAATGTAAAATGAATGCATTTTAATATATTAACAGAAAGCATAGCGTTTGCTATCACTTACCAGCTCTGCCACTCTGTGCTGAGCTGGTTGTAGGACACATGAAATATCTTAATTTGGCTACCTCAGATCTTTTGGGAAGTATGCAGGTTTAAAATAATTTAACATAATCCTTATTTTAATAGCATCAGACCCCTTTTCACAGCGCGTCAAGCCAGGAACATTTACCTCCCTTAGATATTCGCTTTTCTAGTAGCTCAGAAGGTGCTAAAGGCTATCTTACAATCTGTGCTGCCACTGGCTCAATTTGTGAATAAGGACAGCAGGGAGACTTAAAAAAAAAAAAAAATCACATACATAAGGGCGCCATGCTTGTGAGCTTGTTGAAAGCCTCAGCCTGAATATTTATAAGCCCACAGGAAAGTCCATGTGGGAGGGTAATAAAACGTGGGCTGTGGGACATGTGCCCCAGTGGACGCACAGTGTGCCAGAACCGCATGCTCCCACCCGGGCAGCCAGCCCAGACAAACACAAGAGTGCCTCAGCCCCGGTCTCAGTGGGAGGAAGCTGCCACTGTCCACTCTGCCTTGCCTCCTGGACCTCTGCTCCCAGCACTCATCATAGTTGTCACAAACATAGCTAATGCCATGAAACCACAAGGCCTGTATCCAACTGAGAGAAACAACAGTGGGCCTTCAGGTAAGCAAAAAATATTTTGAAAAAAAAATCACATGTCATTTTTCTAGGTATTTAAAGCCTCTTCTACCAAAGGAATCTCAGAAAGTTTAGTGATTCAGGTGGCACTCCCAGACGACTGCCACATTTAGGCCTCCCCTCACCAAGTCCAGAGGAGGGAGATAAAGCCACTTGTCTGAGCCCAGCCTGGCCCTGGTTCCCCACTGCTGTCAGGCCCAGAGCGGCCTCTCAGCGGCAGGGGTTCCTGGGCCCTAACAAGCATGCTTTAGTCAGGTGTGAGCTTCATTCCAGCCCTCATAGGAAACTATCAACTGTTGATAATTTTTTTACCTACCAAAATGGCCATTTCATATAGTTCAACCTAATTTTTTACTTAGTTATTTGGTTACTGTCCATCTCCATCCTAGACTTTAAGCTCCACAGGGCAGAGATTTTTGTATATCTACTACTGTAAAGCCAGTGCTCAGAATAAAACCTGGCACGCAGTAGGCCCTTCATAAAACTTTACTGAATATCAGTGCAATTTGCTTTGTCATTAATTTTTCCAAACCACAAAGAGCCCATGGGAGAAAGGACACCAGTAAAATAAATGATGGATACCAATCAATAAGAGTGAAATGTGTCAGCCAGAAAAAAAATGGAGACCCTCGGTTTGTTGGCTTATTCTGCTCTAGGCTTCTGAGCCCTGGGGTTTAGAAGCAAACTTGTGTTCCGGAATTCCAGATGGGCTTGATGATACCTGTTTATAAAACAATTAAAATCGCTGACTTCTGCAAGAGAATATGGTAGAACTTATTAAACCTGGCATGGTTTTCCTAGTCCTCAGTTTGGAGTACACCCAGGGACTATCACCTTGGTTGTAGGTTATGTCCAGAGGCCAAATGGAAGGCAAGGAGTGCTTTGGACTGAGTTTCACATAAGAGCTGAGCCAGAAGATGGTCTGCTCTACCTCTGCAGCTATTGAAAAAGCAGTTCCTGAAGTTAGGCCAGCCTCTAGTGGTCGCCAGGACCTTGCTAGTGCCATGCCTCACTGTACCGTTGTTTTGGGAGATGTGTTTGTGTGCTTGGTATGTAGGGCAGTTGCCGTCTTCTTCCTGGTGCATGGCTCAGTTGTACTTGGCTCACTTGGGAAGAGCAAGAAGAGTGATACTGGGCAGCAACAAGAGACAACAGAGCCACTAAAGAAAAGCCACAAGTAACCTAAAGGGCTGGTGACCTCTCATGGCGTGACTGACAGGATAGCACCCTAAAAGGTGCCATTTTCACAACCTTAAAAGACATCATCCTTGTGTCCTAACAGCCTCCCAGTTCATTGTACCAAGAGAGAAGATGCCAACATCTGCTGACCATTGGATCACATGACTCACCCTTATCCTTGGAAGAAAAAACAGTAAATGAAAAGAAACTGCTGGTTAGGCACTTGGACCACCCCACCAATGCCACCTCAGCTGGAGATGGAGCCCGACAACCTCACTGGCGGGCCCAGGGCACAGGTCCTCTCAAGCAGCCATCCCAGTGCAGTACCACCCACCCCTCTGCCATCTCAGCAGTGTTTCCCTCCCAGAACTTACATCTACCTGTGTAGGAATCTCAGAGTCTCT